TCTGCTGATGCCGAAGCTGCTGTTGTGCCGCCGCCGCGCGGTGCGCCCCCCGCCCCATGGATCCGCCCGCGGGGGCCGCGGCCACCGAAAAGGATCCTGCGGCCAGAGACGAACCTGAGCATGCCAAGGTCTCGGCGCCAGCTGGGGATCCCCCGTCCAGGACGTCGTCCCCGCACAAAGCTGGACACTCGCTGGAAGACTGGGACACTGTGGCCACAGTGAGAACTCGCATATAGGCAGTCACGCAAGTGTCCCCTGCGACCCTGGGGCTTTTATCGTTCACACACTCAGTACACGGTCTCCGGAAACGGGGCGGCCCCACGTCTCAGAGCTTTAAGGGAGGGTGAGGTGACTTCACCTTGGGGACTCGGTGGCTCCCTGCTGGGGTGCCAGTCACCCCGGGGACACCACGCCCGGCCTTCCTGGCGCTTGCGCATCCGCTCAGGCCCAGGATGCCTCCGGGGTATAATCCAGCCTCCCAAGCATGAACCCCTGGTGGGGCTCAGAGGGCTGCATAGCTTCCTGGGGACCCTTCAGGGACAGGTATGCTGATGTTTTGCCCTCATCTCCTGTGTGGCGGGATTTCGGTTTTTCTTTAGTGACTCCAAACTTGGTCTCCCGTGACCCAGAAGTTTGCTGGGGAAGCCGGTGTATTCCAGCACGGACCGAGATTCTCCAAGGGGTCTGGGATCGCGCGAGGCATCGTGGGTGGCAGCTTCTCAAGTCTGACCCCCGGGAGTCCGGAGCGTCTCCGTCGCTAAGACAGTTGCAGCCAGTGTGTTGACTTTTAGGAAAGTGTTCCTGGAGGAGAGAGGGAGGGACTGGCGTCCTCTAGGCTGCAGGCAGAGTTTCTAGAGACTTGTCCGTGCACCTAGGTGCTGGAAGGGAGGAAGTCAAGTCGGGGTTCTGGGCCAGGGCTGAGGGAGGATTAACACCTTTTCAGCGGGGCAGCGAGATGGCTCTGTGGGTAAAGGAGCTTGCGACCCAAATTCAATCCAGGTTCCCTTATGGAGGCTGACACTCGCCGCATCCCGATTTATGATTGACTTTTGAGGGAAACGGAGCCACTTGAATGCCGTTTACTGATGATGATGTAGCCCTGGCTGGCCTTCCTGTCACTGTGTAGTCCAGGGTGACCTTAAAATACACATTCCCCTACCAACCCTTCTAAATGCTGACATTGCAGTCCTTCCTACTCCACCGAAGATTGTTTATAAGGTGCTGGGAACCGAGCCCATGCCCTTATTTTTGAGACATTGTTACTGCATAAATTCGAGCCGATTAGAGACTCCAGGCAATCCCCTGATTTTAGCTTTCCCAGTGCTGGGACCATAGTGACTCACAGGCATTCAGCACCTCAGCTGGTTCTCCACCCTTTTCTTTCTTAAGTTTTTGGAGACATGGACTCTCTACATAGCCCTGGCTGTCTTGGAACTCACTCTACTCTGTAGACCAGGCTAGTTTTGAACTCCTAGAGATCCCCATGACTCTGCCTCCTAATGGTCAGGGATTAACTTTTATGTGTCTCTTCTGCCTTCCACCAAGTGGATCCAGGGTATTGAACTCAAAACCTTGGGTTTTGGACGAAAGCCCCTTCGCCTACTGAGCCCTGTTTCCGCCCCACTTCGTCCAAAGCATTGGGCATCTTGGGAGCCTCCCTGAGCCATGTCACATCCTGAATCCTACAGCCTTTCTTTACTGTGAGCCTGTTCCCTCCAAATCTTCTAGAAGGACCTGGGTGCACAGGTCTGCCTCCCCTCTCCCCCACTCATCCTTTCATTTTATATGACACACTTAACTGAACTACAAGCATTGTCATTGAGCCCTCACATAAATTTACACCATGTCTATGACAAACATGGAGTTTGGGGGGTGTTTGAGACAGGGCTCGAATGTGTAGTCCTGCCTGACCTGGTACTTGTGAACAGGCTGGCCTGGAATGTTGGTGCCTACAAGTACACACTACCAAAATCAGCAGGGAACCAACCCCCCACACTCAGGAAGTACTCTAGATCTCACCAGGCAAGCCCTGCATTCTCTGTCAGTCACCTGCACATACCCCACTCTGCATTCTCCAGGAAATATTGATGGTATTGCCTCCTACCTGAAACATTTCTCCATTTGTTTAGAAACTCAAGTAAAGAACATTCCAGGCGGAGGATGTGACTCAGTGGGTACAGTGCTTATAGCTTAGTTGGAGTAGTGCTTACAGCCCCGTGGGAAGACTGCTTGTGGTTCGACAGATACAGTTCATGTGACTCAGTGGACAGAGTATTTATAGCTCAGTGGATAGAGTACTTGTAGCTCAGTTGATGCAGTGCTTCCATTCAGTGGGTAGAGTATTATAGCTAAGTGGGTGCGTGTTTGTGACTCAGTGGGCAGACTGCCTGTAGCTCAGTGGACATAGTGCTTGTAACTCAGTAGGTAGAGTACTTGCAGCTCAGTGGATCTCAGATTGAAATCTGCCGAACAGGAGCCCTCTGCTTGGCCGGACCTCTCCTCCACTCTTGTTTCCCTGGACTCATCTATCAGTCTCGTCCTTAGATGTAGGGTCACATGACCGGCTGGCTGTCAGGTTGCCACAGGCTAGCACCTTATACACTAGAGAGGAATTGCTGCGTGCCCCACAGGGGAGGGGAGTGCCACCTGGTAATCCATAGTGGTGATAATTTGAATCTAGAACCATCTAGGAGACACTTATGGTTGTTACATTGAGGTGGGAGGTGCCCAAACACGAGTGGAGACACAGAGTGCTTAAAAAGGAAAAAAAAAATCAGTCACCAATCAATCAGTACCACCGATCACCAGCACTCCTGCCTGTGGATGCAATAAGAGCAGCTGCGGTATGCTCCTGTCTCTATGACATCATCCTCCACAAGCCCCACCCTCACTGCCACATGCCTGGTTAGCACTAAAGGAGTAAGGTGTGAGATGGGTATGCAAATATACACTTAACCAAATTGTACCTCGAAGGCCTCTGGCTCCTTCTAGAGCAGTCCCATCATACACCATAAAGGGACTGTTCACCCATTCTGGACCATTTTGACTTGAACCTATGTGTGTCTTCCTGAAAGCCACCCCACCCTGCACTATCTTAACTGAATCCACCTTCACCTTCTTGAATTCCACCCACCCTGCTCCATCTGAAACAACCTACATGCACCATCTAGAACCCCACCCATTGGCATCCATCTTGAATTGTTCACTGCCTTGATTTATTCTTTCAGGTTTCTTTTCCTGACAGTTTTCTCCTGAACACTCACTCTCTTAGGACATAAGGTGTCTATCCTGTCCTCCACAGCCAGTGTGTGTCTGTCTCCTCAGCCCCTGGCTGTGTGTCTGTCTGTCTCCTCAGCCCCTGGGATCCTCATCTCAAATCATCAAGGCATGGTTCTCCCTCTCTAGGGCACTTGTCCTGAATCACCAATGGTGGTTGTCCAGTGAGTTTCAAGATGATTTTGCTCTAGGGGTGGGCCAGACTGGGGACACCACCCAGAAGGAGGAAGGCAGGAACTTGTCACAGCACTAGTCACACAGACCAGGGCTTCTTGCTTCCGTCTCCCCTAGAACCTGGGTGCTCTAGGCTGAGTCTAAGCATGCTCTAAGGACTATACCTTCATTCTCTTGAGGATTTGTGCATCCTGAGACTTTCTCTGTATTCACTCACATTTGCATTTTAGTTTTGAAGTGCTGGGCATTGAATGTAGAGCCTCATTTACACTAAAAGCATCTTCTCCTTCTCCCTCTTAATGACTCCTCTCTCCTCCCGTTTTCCTTCCCGAGTCTCTCCCTGTATGTAGCTCAGGCTTTCCTCGAACTCTTTGTTTAGTCCAGGCTGTCCTCAAACCATTGTTAATCCTTTTGCGTCTACCTCAGAAGTGCTAGGATTAAAGCCTACCTCATTGGGCTGAGTTTCTGCAAAGATGGAGATGGAGCCCAGGGCGTCATGTATGCTACACTGAATATCTTACTTTCAGTTTTATTTCCTATCTGAAATAACCATCAGGCCATCACACTTCCTTTATTGTGAAAAGATTTTTCCCGTGAGGTTGAGGGTGTAACTCGGTTGGTACAGTGATTGTAACTGTAGAGTGGGTAGAGTGCTTGTGGCTTAGTAGATTGGCTCTTCCTGTGGAAAGCCATCAGTGCTAATAACACATTGGAATACCTGACACTTGGCTCCTTCAGGAACATTCCAGGTTGTGCTTCCAGTCCACTCTTGTGCTTGTATTTTCCTTTGTGCGGCTGGGAATGGAATGTGGGAAAATTTTTTTATCATTACCTTTGGGGGATGGAACCTAGGACCTTGCGAATGCTAGACAAGCACTCCACTGAGCTACACACCCAGTGCATGAGAAAACTATTAGTATTATTATTATCATTGTTATTATTACTATTATTGCTCTTGTTGTTGTGCTAGGTGCTGGGGATACAGCCAAGGGACTCATTTGTGCCAGACATGTGCTCCAGCACAGAGCTGCAACCCCATCCCGTTCTGCCCACCTCTTTAAACACATCAGGTGCTATATTGACCTGGGACAAAAATCACCATTTTCCAATGTGATAGAGAAAAGGAAAGAAACCTGCATCTATCCACATAGCTTACTGGGATTGTCCCTACTTGTACCCCATTTGTTACTGAGACCTAGTTCTGGGCATCTGGATCACTTCCATGTAATATCTGTGTCTTCTCCCCCAGGAACCTTGTTACCCACATAAAAATTCATAACCCCCCCCATGCCAGACATACAGAAAATTACTTTTGCAAGATTCCAGGTATCCATGGATGGGGCACTTGACTTATCATTTGTAGACTGTGCATAGTGTGTGGGCCGCATCTTCTTACTCTGAGGTAGTCATTTTTTTAATTGGGGAGGCCACTCATCCATCTGGCATAGAGGGCAACCTCAGAGTCTGTAAGGGCCATAAAATCATGTACAATTAATTTGGGTGGTGATGTTTGTTACCTTGCTGCCCCTGTGACCTGGGAGTCACTCTACAGTTCAAGGGACTGTGCTAGAGTGACTGGTGTGAATGGCTAGGGCTTCAGCGTTGAAGACAGGGTGATTTTGCATCACATAAGGATGCTGGGACATTCATTTGGATGGACAGATATAATATGCATTTGAATGATTGCGTGTGTGTTGATGGCTCGCAACCAAGGGATTGGGGGTGGAGGTGGGGGTGGTACAGGGACAGACAACTTATGCTTGGGCCTAATGACAACAGAGTTCATTCTACAGACTTTGAAAATTGGTGTGAAATGTGGATTAGCTAGCTTTCCATTGTTGTGACAAAATCCCTGGCATAATAAAATTATAAAGATTTGTGTTAGCTCCTGGTCTCAAAGGCGACTGTCCATGGCTCCATTGCTTTGGACCTGTGGTGACACAATGCATCATGGGAGCATGTGGTAGAGCAGAGGTGTTTACTACATAGTGGCCAGGAAACACAGAGAAGGGGAGACCAGGGTCCCAGTGTCCCCTTCAATTACATACCCCTGATGAGCTAAGTTTCTCCCACTAGGCAGTAAATAGCTCCTTGCCCTGGGAGTTTCTGGTACTTTCTGGTTGTCTTTGTTCTGGCTGCTTCTGGCAGTTGGCACTCTGCTGCACTGTGCTTTTCCACGGTGTTAGGTTTCTCAGCCTGTGCTTTGGCTCTGCAGCTCCCCTGCTCTGCGTAATCCACACCACCAGCTGCCTCTGCACCCACAAGCCACAGACACAAGTGTGAAGGAAACAGGTCGGCAGCCATCTGACGCAGAAGGCATCCTGTGGACTGCACATCACAGTGCGTCTGTCAGGCTGTGCTCACCCGGTGTATGTGAGACAGAAAGTGATGTGCCATCCACTAGGCACAAGCACAGGGTTTTGGCATCACAGCACTTGCTTTTCTCACTGCCGAGACAAAATGCTTGATAATCGGAATTTAAGGGAGCAGGGGATTATTCTGGCTCAGACTGGAACCAGCCTATCATGGAGACAGGCGTATGATAGGCAGCAGCAGAGAGAAGTGACTGCGAGAGCTCAGCTCTCTTTCTCCTTTTTACTTAATCCAGGACCCCAGCGAAGGAGTGGTGATGCCCACATTCAGGATGCGATTTCCCACCTCAGTGACCCCCCCACATTCAGGGTGGGATTTCCCACCTCAATGAATCCCATATTCAGGGGTAGCCTGGGGCAGACCCTGATGAAGCTATTTAAGAGCATTTTCAATGGGATTACCCCAGTACCTTTTGAAATGTCTATAAACACTCCCACATACTTTTTACCCATCTGATTCACTCTAGGCCATGCCTGGCTTCCACTCAGGGCCACTTGTGACTCTGTGTGCCTCCTCCAATCCTGTGTGCTGTGTGGCAGGTGTCTCCTGATTGATTGGCACCCTTTTCTAAATAAGAAAGCTACAAAGACCTATTTTATATCCCAATTAATTTGCTGTAAGCTAAGATAGCAGAAGCAAAACACGGTTTTGAGGCTGGCCATGACAAAGCATGCCTTTTGCTTCTTTAGCAGGGTTTCAGTGCTGCAGGAATGGGCTTTTCATGTCTAGCTGTGGGTGAGTTCTTCTTGATCCTATGCCTACCTCTAGCTTTGCTGTGGGGAACATCCTGCGTGTTTGCAATGGTGGGAGAAGGTTGGGATTTTATGAGGTTTTCTTTTTGTTCTCTTTCTTTTTCTTTATTAATTGGGGGTAGGGGGTTGAGCCAGAGTTTGTCTCTGTAACTATCCTGGCTGTCCTAGAACTCACTCTGTAGACCAGGCTGGCCTGGAACTCACAGAAATCTGCCTGCCTCTGCCTCTGCCTCTACCTCCTGAGTGCTGGGATTAAAGGTGTGTGCTTTTTCTGAGTAATTTTTTTTTAGTTTTTTAAAGATTTATTTATTATGTATGTAGTGTTCTGTCTGCACTTATGCCTACATGCCAGAAGAGGGCACCACATCTCATTGTGGTTGCTGGGAATTGAACTCAGAACCTCTGGAAGAACAGCCTGTGCTCTTAACCTCTGAGCCATCTCTCCAGCCCAAAAGTAATCCAAGGTAGCACAAGCCTTTAATCCCAGCAGAGGCAGGTGATCTCTGTGAGTTCGAGGTCAGCCTGGTCTATAGAGCTAGTTCCAGGACAACCAAGGTTACACAAAGAAACCCTGTCTCGGGAAAAAAAAAGTACCCCACCAGGAGTCACTACGTCTAGTACCTGGGTTCTTCCTATAGCAGTGTTTAAATTGTGGCCAACTTGAAATCCAATCTCCCATGCACATAGCAGGCAATTTTTTTAAGTTTTAGTCATTGTTATTTCTATATGTATATGTAGTTGCATGCTATAGCATCCTTGTGGATGTCACAGGAAAGTCTTTGAGTGGGTTTAAACCGTCCCATACTCCACCTTACATGGGTTCCTAGATTCGAACTCAGGTTGTCAGGTTTGCAAGGCAAGCCCTTTACCCTCAGAGCCATTTATTTCCCTGGCCACTTGATTGACAGTGGTGTCTGAAAACAAAACCATAAGGTCCTTAGCGGTCAAGTAAGTTTCTCTCCCTGTGTCCAGCTTTAAGGCCCTATGTGGACATGGTTTCCATTCCTCAGATATGAATACTTTCCCTGATTCAGGGGAGACTTAACTGGCTACATTGTCTTCCTCAGGGACCGGAACCTTTGGCCGCGTGAACCTGGTGAAGGAGAAGACAGGCAGGCGGTACTATGCCTTGAAGATTATGAGCATCCCGGAAGTCATCCGCCTGAAGCAGGAACAACATGTGCAGAATGAGAAGGCAGTCCTGAAGGAAATCAACCATCCCTTCCTTGTCAAGCTGTGAGTTCCTGGCTCCTTTCTTCTCAGTTCTCCACTTCCCCAAGGTTATTCTGTCAAGGGTGCTTTGCGGGGTGTGCTGGCTGTAGCTCAGTCAGTAGAGTGCTTGCAGCCCCATTGATCGAGTACTTGTAGCTCAGCAGGTCCAAAGCTTGTTGCTCAGTGGATATAGTGTTCTCAGCTCAGCTAATACAGTGCTTGTAGCTTGGTGGAAAGAGTGCTTGCCCTCACCTAACAGAGTGTTTGCAGCTCAGTGGTGTGAGGTAGGAGATGCTACCCAGTTTTTGGCTTGATTTATTTTTAATTGTGTGTGACTTTGCACACCAAAATAGTACCTACAGAGGCCCTCTTGGAGCTGTAGTTTCAGGTGGCTCTGTACTGCCCAACTGGGTGCTGGGATTCGAAGTCACATCCTCCACAGGAGCAGCAAGTGCTCTTAGCCTCTGATCCATCCCTCCAGCCCCAACCCATGACTTTTTATAACAAATCCTTTTTGTGTGAGCTGACTAGGCCCCTTGATGCTAACTAACAGTAGTCTCTTCAATGTTGATGCCCCTGTAAAAGTCAAAACTTGGGTCTTTTGTTACAGCATCTAATCAAGGTAACAGAGTAACCTAATTATTCGTTCATAATTTTCATATAAAACTCAACTGGTGATTTTTATCAATGCTAAATCCTTTTCTGCATTTTAGAAATATGCACACATGTATAATATTGTGTGTGTGTGTGTGCGTATGTGTAATATGTAGTCTGTGAAGGTCCATATGTGCACATACATGTGGAGATCAGAGGATAGTGTCTGCTGCCATTACTTCGCTCACACTACAAGTTTGAGACAAGGTCTGCTGTTGGCCTCAGCCAATATGTTAGTCTTCCCAGTGAGCCCTGGAGAGGGTAAATTACCCAGCATGGCATCATTGAAACACCGCCACGCAATATCCATGCTATTCTAGAGTGTTCTATCCTGTCAGAACATGATAGAGGTACACTACAGTCAAAATTCATTAGAATAGCATAGAACTAGAGGGTCAGAGGCTGGAGAGAAGGCTCACAGGTTAAGAGCACCTGCTTCTCTTGCAGAGGACCCCATTTTGGTTCCCAGCACTCACCTTGCAGCACACAGTCATCTGTAATTCTAGCTCCAGGAGATCCAATACCCCTGCTGCCCTCTGTGTCTGCTATACTCTTGTACACCACACACACACACACACACACACAGAGAGAGAGAGAGAGAGAGACAGAGACAGAGACAGAGACAGAGACACAGAGAGAGAGAGAGAATATGAGAATACAGGTAAGTATTTTTGAAAATTTAAATAAAACACAAGGCTGGCCAAGTGGTGGTGGCACACACCTTTAATTCCAGCACTCGGGAGACAGAGGCAGGGTATCTCTTTGAGTTCGAGGCCAGCCTGGTCTACAAAGTGAGTTCCAGGACAGCTTCCAAAGCCACAGAGAAACCCTGCATAAATAAATAAATAAATAAATAAATAAATAAATAAATAAATAAATCAGAGGGCTGGAGAGATGACTCAATGGTTAAGAGCACTGACTGCTCTTCTAAAAGTTCTGAGTTCAATTCCCAACAACCACATGATGGCTCACAACCATCTGTAATGAGATCTGGTGCCCTCTTCTGGCGTGCAGCATACATGCACGCAGAACACTGTGTACATAATAAATAAATAAATCTTTTAAAAAATTAAGCACAGGGACCTTAAATTCCACATGGATTTTAACATTAGCCAAAATGGGTCCCTCTTAGTGACAGCACCAACTAAGGCTCATCACTCTGTGAGTTTCTGTGTCCCAGTCTCCTCTCCTTATGAGGACTCAGTCCCATTAGGTCAGATCTATCCCAGAGACATGATTCTACCTCAGTCTCCCCATTAAAGACCCAGATGGGCACACAGTTGTGTCCCAAGGTCCTGGGTGTGCAGACTTTTAACACAGGAATTCTGAAGGAATGAATCCTGAGTGCTTAGCTAAATCAAACTAGATACCTCCACCCACGACTGAATTGACCTACATGCTGTACTCACAGCATGGCAGAGCATGCTGTATATCTGTCCAGATGTGGGAACACAACTTAGCCGGTCCTTGATCTTCAAAGCATGCTGCTGGAGAGCCTCAGGGTCATCCATTCCAACTTGTTCGTGTTTTCTGTGAAGGTGGAGTTGTTGTCTTGAACAGACGTGGGATGCATAGTGAGAATGGCTTCAAACAGCTGCTGGGACTCTCTGTTTGTGTTGCTGTGGGGATCTGGGCTTATTTGCAAATGGCTTTACTAAGAGTCAGTATTAGGCTTAGCCCACAGTGGGTGGCACCATTCCCAAGGTAGGAGGAAAAATGTCCTGTTTCAACTGTCAACTGACACAACCCAGAAGGTGTGTGAGCGTGTCTGTGGGAGTGTTTTAATTGATGACTGACATAGCGATCTGCCCACTGCAGACGACAACATTCCCTTGGCAGGATGAGGGTGTACTATCAGCTTGACACAGAAAATTTGTGCTCTGGATGGAGTGCACCCATTTTGCCAGAGGGATGTGCACACAGAGGTCTAACCAGGAACGAAGTCTGGGGTGGGGTCAATCTCTGGAGAGGTCTGAGCTGTGCATGCTGAAATTCAAGTGTCTCTGGACACAATACAGCAGCTGTTTGGAGGGGCCTTCCATGCTAGGGGGTTGTAGTCAGAGAGTGTTGTGTAGACGTTGCTGTGTGCCCCTGGAAAGCAGTAATGTTTGTGGATGAAAACGTCTTGGTAGTTGGGTGGGAGTTACTTGAGGGATAGATGGCTGATGGATGGATGGATGGATGGATGGATGGATGGATAGATAGATAGATAGATAGATAGATAGATAGATATTAATAGTGAGATGATAGATAAAGATAAATGATGGATGGATGAATGATAGATGGTAGACAGGTGATGGATAGTTGGGTGGATAGGTTAAATAGCTAGATAATAGATGATTGGTGGATAGAAGACAGACAGACAGACAGACAGACAGACAGACAGACAGACACATACATTACATAGTTTTGGTTAAGGTAAAGATGTTGGTGAGGGTTCCTCTTAGGGCAACACCAGCTTACCATATAGTTTCCCTACAAACTTTAACCTCAGTTGTCCTCACATAGCACCCTGTGACATATTAACATCAACCTGCAACCACCGTCCATCTAAGCACAACCTTACCATTTGGGTGAACTGACATCAGACATCTTAAATGTCCTTATTAGTTACTGTCCAACTTTGCTTCTTTTGCCTTGATAAAACAGTAACCCAAAGGGACTGAGGGTAGCTAAACTAAAAGTTAACTTGGATTTCACTTCTCTATCACCCCCCATCCCCCACCCCCACCCCTGTGCATCTTGGATAAAAGTCAGAGCAGGAACCAGAAGCTTTCATTTAGCCCAAGAAGTCTTATCCACAATGGGCAGGTAGGTCCTCTTATGTCAATCATCAAACAGGACACTCCCTGCAGACACCTACAGGCCAGTCTGCAGTCTGGTGTGGGAGATGTCTCACTGAGACCCTATCTAGGTGACTCCAGGCTGTGTTAAACCTGACAGCACATCTTCCCCCAGCTAGGGAATGGTGTCACCCACAGTGGGCATGGTATTCATCCATCAGTCAACTGAAAGAAGACCCTCTTTGCAGACTTGCCCACAGGCCAGTCTGACATAGGAGACCTTTCCCAAGTGACTCTGGGCCGTCAAGTTGACAGTGAAATCTAACCAGGGAACATGCATATGTTTGCACCTGTTTGTGTATTTATCTTGATACTTGTATTTATATTTTGATATTTGCATATATGTACCTGTTAGTGTCTGAATATACCAGTATATTAATGGGAACATCTGCCTCTGTATATCCACGGTCTGTATACATGTCTTGCCATCGGTGTCTGTCGATCACCAACATCCATCTGCATCCACATCTGAGCACACCCCCATCATGCATTCTGTCGTGTCTCGCAGGTTCTGGACTGGCCATGACCACCGCTTTCTATACATGCTAATGGAGTTCGTGCCTGGTGGTGAGCTGTTCACCTACCTGAGGAACCGTGGCCGCTTCTCCTCAGCTGCTGGAATCTTCTACTCCACAGAGATTGTGTGTGCCATCGACTACCTGCATGCCAAGGAGATTGTCTACAGGGACCTGAAGCCTGAAAACATTCTTCTAGATCGGGAAGGACACATTAAACTCACCGACTTCGGCTTCTCCAAGAAACTGGTGGATAGGTGAGTGGGGCAATCATGGGGTCATTAGAGGTTAAATGAAAATTGAAGGTTTGATTTAGATGGGTGGACAGACATGGGCAGAAGATGCATGGTGGGCTCTGGCATGATGCACCCCCTCCCTCCATCTGTCTAGATGAATATCTCCTTTTTTGTTACTATTGATGTTGTAAAACACTCCTTAAAAAAAAAACAGTTTAAGGAAGAACAGGTGTATGTTAGTTAGTTCCTGGTTCTACGTGGGATCATGTGCCAATGGGAGCCTGTGGCGAGGGCAGCTGTTCACATTGCATCCACATACAGGAAGAGAAAAAAGGAAGTAGGGCTGGGTTATCAAATCTTGAGCCCAACCCTGGTGACCCACTTCCTCCAGTGAGGTGGCCACCTTTCCTAAAGGTTGTCCCGAGTGTTCTCAAACAGCACCACCTGCTGGACACCAAGTGTTAAAATGCCTGAGTCCTTAGGGAACACTCCATGTCTATTGCACAACCTTGGGAGTGGTGGGTGCCCCTGCAGGTTGTGAGCAAAGGAGAAAATCATTCTGTCATCAAAGTGGTTGAATTTTGTTCTGGAAAATTGTAATACTGTCCATGTGTGAATGACTTCTTACTTGAATATATGTGCATGTACAAATATGTATATGTATATATGCAAATATGTATATATTTAAAATCATCTCTATATTGCATTATAGTTACACAATTTATATATTTATATACATTTATATATAATTGTGTATATATATACATATATAAATACATATATATATATATGTATTTGTATATTTTATATACACAAACACATGTCCAGGGATACTATAGCTGGCTCACACGGCAGTTCAGTTTTTCAGTTTGTTCTATTGGTTTTTTTTTGAGACAGTGTCTTTGTGTAACAGCTCTGTCTGTTCTGGAACTGGAGTTACCAGTGGATGTATACAGTCATGTGGGTGCTGGGTACTGAACCCAGGTTCTCTGCAAGAGCAGCCAGCCTCCATCTTAGTGTATTCTATTTATAGGACTCTTTCCTTAGGTTCCTTCGCTCATGGCTAAGGGAGCTCCTTGCAGATAACAAAGAAGATGGTGTCACCTTCCAGTTAACCCATATCCACAGGGTGGGTGGGGGGAAGAGAAGGCTTCACATTAATGGAATCAGGTACTTTCCAGCCTCAGCAGGGTATCTCTGTGCAGGAGACAGATTCTCTGTGGTCCCAGTACTAGCAGAGTGTACTAAATACCCTTGACCAACCAGGCAGCCATTGGGGCATTTTGCAAAAATAATTGTGTGCAGAGAGCTTCAAGGCTGTAGAAAGTTCCACCTAAGGCAGGCAAGCCTTCAGCCTGAGGCAGACACAGAAAGACTCAGCTTTCAGTCAGGTAAGTAGAGCTGTCTCAGGTACAGTTACCCGTGGTCTCATGGACTGCGGTGCTCTATCTACCCTGATCTTGTTCTAACTGAGTCAGGCTACAAGGATAGAAATCTGAGTTAGTGGTCCCAGAAGCACACAGGAACCTGTCTGTGACTGACTGACTTCTACTTGATTCCATTGGGGAGGGGTGGGAGGCAGAAGGGGTGGGTACAGCCCAGACTTGGAGTGATATATGATTTATGATTTATTAAAGCTTGCCTGAGGGCTCAGAAAGAAAAGTCAGCCACAAGCCATAGAAACCAGACACACACCTTTAATCCCAGCAGCCAGAAGCTAGGAGGTGGTGGTACATACTTTTAATCCCAGGACTCAGGATAAAGAGGTAGAAGGATCTCTCCAAGTTCAAGGCCACCCAGATCTACACAAGATTGATCTAGTCCTAAAGAGAATTATAGCTCATACATTTAATCCAAGGACTTGTGAGAGGTATGTAAGACAGGAGCAAGATCTCAATATAGAGCATTCAGTCTCCAGCCACGCTGAGGAGAGGCAGCAGTATCAGCCCATTCAGCCCGGGGTAGTGGTGAGAGCTAGTGGCCGTCTGCTTTGCCTTTCTGAACTCCAGCTTGAAGTTTGAACCCCAGTATCTGTCTCTGGGTCTTTTATTTTTCTTGATACACAGACTGACCTGGCACTCACCAGGCAGCCGAGGATGACCTTGAACTCTTGATCCTCCTGCCTTGACCTCGCAAGTGCTGAGATGACAGCTGAGCATCTCCACACCCTGTTATGCTGGCCTCTGTGCCTGCTAGGCAAGTGCTCGACCCATTCAGCTCCAAGCACCGCACTCATGAAACTGTAGGCAGTCTACTCCATGACATATACTTAGATGCCTGCAAGTGTCTGAGTTGAACTGCACCATCCCTTGCACCAGGTCTGGATCAGTTGTTTACAGCTTCTGGGCCAGAGTTCCTTTTGTCCATTCCACTTACAGAACTTTTCTCCCCATCTGTTCCTTGCTCTGTCTGGTTTGCTGCACAGAGGCTTTTAGCTTTGTGCCCTCCCCTCTGTCAACCTTCCTGAGTCGTTTATAGAAAGTCCTTGTACTGTGACTTGTTCAGGTCCCCTGAAACAGGAGTTCCAGGTGGTTGTACCACCACCATGTAGATGCTGGGAATCAAACTCAGGTTCCCACAAATAATCTTACTCACTGAGCCATTGCTCAAGCCAACTTCTGAAAAAAGATTTTATTACATTTATTTATATTGGATGGGGGGATGTGCCATGGTGTAGAGGTCAGAGAAGAGCTTGCCAGAGTCAGTGCCCTCCTCCCTCCATGTGGGACCCGGGAATTGAACTCATGTTGTCAGGCTTGACACAAGTGCTTTGACCCACTGAGTATGTCCCCAGTGTTTCAAGCACGCTAGGCCAGCGCTCTGTCAACTTTACCATGGCCCCAGCTCCAGGATACTTTCATCATGTGAATCATCACGAACTATGAAGCAAGCAGTTACTTCCCACTGCCTTCATTCTCTCCTCACAACATCCTGGTGTGCATTGTGCCTCTCTGGGTCTTCCTGGCCACACCTTCACAAAGAGGCAATGGCCTCTTTATCTCTGTCAAACTTACCATCCTTTTTATGGCTGAACAATATTTCATTTTAGTTTTACCACATGGTGCTTATTAAATCTTTTATGGCTTAAGTTTTTTAAAAGAAACTGGAGAATAGTTACACTAGAGAATTAACAGCACAGCTGAAAGCTCTAGAACAAAAAGAAACAAACTCATCCAGGAGAAGTAGATTCCAGGAAATAATCAAATCGGGGACTGAAATCAATAAAGTAGAAACAAAGAAAACAATACAAAGAATCAATGAAACAAAGAGTTGGTTCTTCAAGAAAATCAACAAGATAGACAAACCTTTATTTATCCAACCATACCAAAAGGCAGAGAGAGAACATTCAAATCAACAAAATCAGAAATGAAAAGGGGGACATAACAACAGACACTTGGGAAATGCAGAGAATCTTCAAGTCATACTTTGAAAACCTGTACTCCACAAAATTGGAAAATATAGATATCACCTACCAAAATTAAATCAAGAAGAGATAAGCAATTTAAATAGACCTATAGCCCCTAATGAAATAGAAGCAGTCATCAAAAGTCTCCCAACCAAAAAGAAAAAAAAACCTCAGGGCTTAATTTATTTTTAGTTGAATCTTTTGAAGAAAGAAATTATCTATTTTTCTTATTTTATATGCTGTGCAATTTGCAGAAGTCAGCATCTGTTTGCCACACTAAGTGGCTATTTTTAAATATCAATTAAAGCCAGGCATGATAGCACACAACTTTGATCCCAGCTCTCAAAGGGCAGAGGGAGGTGATCTCTTGTTTGCATGATAGCACACAACTTTGATCCCAGCTCTCAAAGGGCAGAGGGAGGTGGATCTCTTGTGAGTTTAAAGCCAGCCTGGTCTACACAAACAAGTTCCAGGACAGCCAGAGCTGTTACACAGAGAAATACTGTCTCAAAATGGACAAAAACTCTGAAGTTCTGATCCTCCTGCCTCCACTTCCACGTCTTTCTTATGCCAGGCTGGAAATTGAACCCAGAGCCTACTGCATGCTGGGCTTGTGCTCTACCAATTGAGCCACATTCCCAGCGCCTATCACTAATGTTAAAGATGATTAATACTGCATATTGATTTACCCACCTTCCACTCTCTCCTTTCCTAGTAGTCTTTTCTATGTTGAGTTTTGTGTTTTTAATTCTGTGTGTCTGTGTGTTTGTTGATGTGACTACAGTACTGGCAGAGGCCAGAAAATGATCGTGAGACCATTAACTAAATGTTAATGCTTGTAAGGAAGACATTTCATGAAGAACACGTCACTGCAGGGTCAGTGATCAACATACATGGTGCTGGGGGTGGTAGTTCACAACAACCCAGGGGTGGGCAAGTTTGGGGCCAGCCAGGGCTACAAACAAGAAAAAGAGCTTAGATTCAGGAGTGTTTCTGTATCATCATCATCATCATCATCATTGTGTGTACGCTGAATGTTTGGACACATATCTGCCATGGTGCATGTGTGGGAATAACAGGACAGCCTTTTGCTGTCCGTTTTCTCTGAACCCTTATGTAGATCAATCTTAGGCTTGTGCAACTTTACCATCTGAGCCATAGTGAATGCCCAAAGTTTGGATTTCCTTAGCTTTATGAAACAGGTTCATGTACTTAGGCCCACAGGCCAGTCTAATGTGGGATATCCTTTACTGAGACCCTTCTCAGGGAATTCTGGGCTGTGTCAGTTGACAGGTAAAGCTCACAGCACCACTTCCCCATGCCTAGAAAATGAGTCTGCCCACCCTGAATATGGCTTGTGCCTCAAATGCTTCCTTGTCATGAAATCTTACACTTGGCACTTGAGTTGGTGCTCAGAAAGTTTTAGGTTTGGGAGCATTTTGGTTTCTTTCAGTTAGGAATGTTCAACCTATGTGGTCATATGTCAGTTTTCTGCAGTGTCAATACTTATGACATGGTTTTCATCAACTGTATGTTATGGCACCTTCCAAACTTAATGTGTTCTGTGCTTCTGTTACCCCCACAGGACATGGACCCTCTGTGGGACACCAGAATACCTCGCCCCAGAAGTCATTCAGAGCAAAGGCCATGGGAGGGCCGTGGACTGGTGGGCACTGGGCATCCTTATATTCGAGATGCTGTCTGGGTGAGTGACGCTCCTAACAAATGCAGCCGTGTGCACACAGTGTCTCCTTCACACCCCATACAGTGCCTTGGAATCTCCTTTCTAACACTTGGCACATGGACACACTCACATACCCTACTATCAATATTTGGAGGGTGACTGAGTATTTATTTTTCTTAAAGAAGAATTTAAATTTTCAGAGACATCCATAGTTCCTTATGGATACCATCCATCTTTTTTTGTGGATGACGCATGAACCTGAATAGTACCCACGGTGAACAAATGATGCCAACCAAACAGCTTAGTCAGTAGTGAGGGAAGAGCAGGTCAGGAAGAAGAGACTATGTTACTTTTTTTCCGTAAATTCCCTTTCTTGGCAATGCATAGGACGTGGGAGTGATGAGTTCTGTTTCTGGCTCCCAGTTGATAGGAAGGTTAGTCATTCCTGAGGGTTACTGGTATCTGTCAAGTCTAGTATACACCTAGAAAATTTTTAAACATAGAAAGTAAGATTCCCAGAGGTCTAGGTATAGCTGGGGCAATTGGAGGCCAACACCATGGCAATGTTCACCTGTGCAGACCTAAAGAGTCACTGGCTTCTGCTGGGGAAGTGACAGTTATTCCAGCTCCATGGACTTTTCCCTGGTGCCAAGATGGAAAGTTCATCCTTTGTGGATCAAACCAAATAGAAAAACAACTTGCAGGAGGATTTTACTAAAATACTATGAGATTTTTCAAGAGGGAACATCCACCCATCCACCCACCCACCAATCCATCCAGACACGCACCTATCCGTCTGTCTATCCATACACCCACTCATCTATCCATCCACCCACCCATCCAGCCACCCATCCATCTATCCAGCCACTCACCACCCATCCATCTCCCAACTCATCCATCTACCCATCAACCCACCCACCCATTCATCCACCCATCCATCCACTCTTCCAGCTCCTGGAGGCTCCAAATGTTCTTGGCTTTTGTGGCCACATCAATCCCATCTCCACATGGCTTCTCCTGTGGGTCTGTATCTCTTCTGTCTGTCTGGAGGGGTACTGTTACTATACTTAGGGTCATCCTTACCCAGTATGGACTAATGTCAAGATCATTCTCTAGGCAATGACCCTATGTGTAAATGATGTCCCAGTCATGTGTTCTGGAAAATTTGTACATGCTGTGTGTGTGTGAACAATCCATGAAATACATTTTCTTTGAAATTTATACATATAAAACCACATTTATATGCACAAAATTTATAATATATAATATAATTTATAAGATATACATATATATACATAAGGAAATGCTTTAGAATCACTAGAAAATTATTGTTTTCATGCTGAAGTGATTGTGAAGAAGAGCCTGGGGTCCCAGTGTCTTTTTGAAGGGCACATCTCCAATAATCTAACTTCCTTCCACTAAGCTCCACCTCTGGAAGGTGTATAACTTTCAGTTCCACCCCTGGCTGGGGAGGAAGACATCAACAGAGGCTCTTTGGGGGATATCAGGACTGTCCATCCCCCACCCCGTCCTCCTGAGGCTACACTACCTACTGAGACCATCTGTCTCCTGTGTCTTCGCACAGCCATGTTGCCAGTTGTCAAATAGTAGATCCATCTGACACAATTTTTTTTGCATTCATTAAGCAAAAATAACAATTGACACAAAGTAGACAGAATTCTGTATTTAATTGTGCTAAAAATACACACTTCTCTCTGCAACAGGTTTCCCCCATTTTTTGATGACAACCCTTTTGGGATTTACCAGAAAATCCTTGCCTGCAAAATAGATTTCCCCAAACACTTGGATTTCACCTCTAAGTAAGTGTACTCTTGGTTTCCTGCCTTGTGCCTATGTTTATTTTCAACACTGCGTGAATAACACAGCAAGAACAAAGTGTTGGCAAACACTCTTGATTCATTACTTATATCAGTCACTTTTTCTACCAGGAAGGGAAAACATTTTACTTATTCTCATTTTACTGAAATGTAATATTTGGAAGGCCTGTTATATATCTCATTCCTTTTGAGATAGAAGGTGTGGAAATTAATGCAGATTTGAGACTGATTGATTGTATAAGCAATCACTCTGTCCATCCATCCATCTGTTTAATTTATTAGTTATTAGTTTACAAATTGAGAGAGGGTCCCACTTTGTAGCTCTAGCTGCCCTGGAACTTGCTGTTTAGATGAGGCTAGCCTTGAATTCAGAGATATTAGCTCCCTGAGTTCTGAGATGAAACCTGTGCACCACCATACCAGGCCTATTTAATTTATTTATTTATTTATTTATTTATTTATTTATTTATTTGGTTTTTCGGGACAGGGTTTGGAGCCTATCCTGGCACTCGATCTGTAGACCAGGCTAGCCTCAAACTCACACAGATCCACCTGCCTCTGCCTCTCAAGTGCTGGGATTAAAGGAGTGGACCACCAGTGCCCAGCTAATTTATTAATTTTTTAACTTGTTTAACATTTTTGAACCACTAAGAAAAGAGGTGTTTAGTGGGAGGAGGTTTGTTTATTGCAGGTAGGACTTTGAAGGAGATGCTGGGGTCCCAGGCTTTTCTTCATGATCACTTCAATGTGTAAATGCAGTATTTTCATTAATTTTTTGACAATTCCATACACATCTATGGTCTATTTTGCTGATATTGGTTTATTTATTAAGCTAGAAGAATGAAGTTTCTTGTGGGCCTGGTCCCTTCCCCATGTGTCCAGGGCCAGAGTGCATCCCTTCACGTGGGATGGGCTCTCAAAGTCCCTTCTTACACCAGGAAAAAATACTAATCCACTACCAGAGGCTCCCTGGAGTGCAGAGGCCTCCTTATTGGCATCCATGTTCAGGGGGCTGGATCAGTCCTGTACTGGCCTCCCAGACAGCGTCTGGGGTCAATGTGCTCTCCCTTGTTCAGGCCAACTGTTTCTGTGGGTTTCTCCAACCTGGTACTGATCCCTTCGATCTTCATTCCTCTCTCTATTCAACTAAGTTCCAGTTTTCAGCTCAGTGTATATCTGTGGATGTCTGTCTCTGCTTCCATCAGCCACTGGATGAGGGCTCTAGTTATGGATCAGGTCGGCCCAAGTGTTAATTTTTTTCCCTTCTTTTCCTCTAACTGAAATTGCACCTATCATAACGAATTCTTGCACCGGGTGGTGGTGGTGCACGCCTTTAGTCTCAGCGCTCGGGAGGCAGAGGCAGGCAGATCTCTGTGAGTTCAAGACCAGCCTGGTCTACAGAGCAAGTTCCAGGATAGGCTCCAAAGCCATAGAGAAACCCTGTCTCAAAACCCCACCCCACCCTCCCCCCAAAAAAGAATTCTTTCATGCAAGATGTTTAGAGGTCAACACGATGCTTAAAACAAATGTGCTCAGTATTCATGCTGACCATTCATTTTCATGAAGATTATGACAAAATTAATGGAAAAGAAAAAAGAAGGGTTAACCATGAACACCTTTGACTTTCCTTGATTTGAATGTGGTTAGATTTGAGCATTTTCTAACCAGAATGATCCTTGATCTCCAATTGTTTATTTATTTAGTTAATTGGGAAGAAGGGTCCCACATAGCCCAGAATTTCTGATCCTCTTCTTCCAGCCTCCCAGAATCGAGGTGACAGACTTGTGCTACTGTGTCCAGGGTGTGTAGTGCAGCAGATGGCATCCAGGGCTGGGTGAGCACTGTACTTGCTGTGTGTAAGCACTCGAGCAACTGAGCAACAAGCACTCTGCCCACTAAGTGCCATTCATCACCTTAACTGCAAGCACTCTGCCCACTGAGTTACAAGCACTCTTTTCACTGAACTACAGTCCTGTCACATACTATCATAGGTGATATGGATTGCAGGATATTTGAGCACACGCGTGTGTACACGTGTGCATGCACACACAACATCCTGTCTTCACCCTGCCTTAACTTCTCCAAGTCTTCGATTTACCACACCTCACTGCCCTGTTCTTTGCATTCTCTTGTCTTTTATCCACAATAAAGACGCAGGAGAGTGGCTGGTGTTTGGGACTTCATTCAGCAGGTGTGCTCAGCCTATGCAGAACTGTGTAAAGGAACACAGCTGTGGGCCTTGTCCGTTACCCAGGAGGAAATGATGCCGGGATAGATCAGTGCTGAAGGGTTACAGGCAAAATTCTCTGGATGGAGGGCTTGTAGCTCAGTGAGTGTAGTGCTTGCTGCAGAGTTGACTGGGTTAGAGTGCTTATACCTCAGCTGGTAGAGCTTTTGTAACTTGGTGCATAGAGTGCTTGTAGCTTAGTAGAGAAAGTGCTTGTGGCAAAGTTGGCTAGGTGCTTGTTGTTCAGTTGTAACTCTACCAATTGAGTACTTGGGAATTGAATATTGCAATGCGTATGTTTAGCTCAGTGGTCAGATTACTTGTAGCTCAGTGGTCAGAGTGCCTGTGGCTCAGTGGGTACAGTGCCTGTGGCTCAGTGGGTAGTGTGCCTGTAGCTCAGTGAGTCAAGTGTTGGTGGCTCTGTTGGCATGCCCCAAGACCTGGGTTCCATCCCTCACCAAGTAAATGGAACACACATCTGTAGCCCTGGCTTGTAGAAGGCAGAAGCCGGAGGTCAGGGGTTGAAGGTCATTGTCAGGGGTGGGAGCCCAGGGTGCAAGCCTCTCCCCACAAATGCTTTTCCCACGGACACACTGTGTGCCGGTGCAGGTGGGGTTTGTGCCAGCTTTGATTCTGGCATTTGCCAGATCTAAGTGAAGTCTGCTCTGGTCACGCAGGGACCTCATCAAGAAGCTGCTGGTGGTGGACAGGACCCGGCGCCTGGGCAGCATGAAGGTGAGTCATGCCAGAGCATTCCAGTTTGCACACTGATGGCAACATCATCCACTCAGAGGGTCCCAGACAATGTTTAAGTTATTTTTGTGGTTTATTTATTTATTTTTATTAATTATGTATATATGCTGCATGGGTGCATTACCCATGACAGTAGGCAGAGCACACTGGGTTCCCTGAAGCTGCAGTTATAAGTTGTCCACTACCACGTGGATGCTGCAAACTGAACCTGGATCCTTTGCCAGAGCAGCCATCTCTCTGGCCCGTGTTTTGCTGTTTTCCTGTAGCCCGGGCTGGGATCAAAGTCACTCTGTAGCTGAGAATAACCCTGAATATTCAACCCACCCACCCCTACCTCCCAGAGCAGGGATGACAGGTGTGCACTGATACTCATGTTGACTTATTAGTCTTTATATTTTAGAGTTTTAATTTATTTCTTCTTACTTATTTTTGAGATAGGGCCTTACCATGTAGTCTGGCTGCTGTGGAACTCTCTATGTAGACTAGGCTGGCCTCAAACTTACATTCACCTGCCTCCATCACCAGAGTGCTGGAATTAAAGACATGTGCCACCACACCTGACCACTAATTTTTTTAACTGCTTTTTTAGAGAGAGATTTTACACATGCTACATACACACACAATGTGTTTCAAATGCCTTTTACTGAGTGTATACATTTCTTCTCAAGAACGGGGTAGAAGACATCAAGCGGCACCGGTGGTTCCGGGGTGTGGACTGGGATTCTGTGCCACAGAGGAAATTGAAGGTGGGTATATCATACACCCTTGAACTAAATGAACCCCTCCATACCCTATCCTAACCGCCCATCGAGCTCCAGCTGTGTCTCAGTCTTGCAAATTAATTTACCAGAGGGTTATTTAGTAATTATCTACATGTATGTATGTCTGTGTTTATGTACACTTTGCAAATGCAATACCAGCGTGCCTTCAGCCCCTCCTTGTAAAATTTACATTCTTCGTGACCGGTACTGCATGCCCCCACTGAGCTGCCTGGTGTCACCTTTCCCCGTGAGCCATGTAAACATTACTGCCAATCAACAAAAGTATCCGACTTCCTCACATTTTTGTCTAATGGTGTGTCGCTTATTTATTTTGTGTGACACTTAGCCACCCATTGTGCCCAAGTTATCCAGTGACGGCGACACCTCCAACTTCGAGACTTATCCAGAGAGTGACTGGGACAAGACCCCGCCTGTATCCGACAAAGAACTGGAAATGTTCAAAAATTTCTGAGGATGGGAACCCACATCTGCAAGGTGAAACTTTTTGTCTTTTCTGAATTTTAAGGTAGGTTGTCATATAGCTGAGAATAGCCTTGAACTTACAACGAGGAAAATACACTCCATGCAACCAAGGATGGTGTGTTAGTCAGTATGCAGGGTTTCTTGCAATGATTGACAGGTCAGTTGGTAGTAAATGTTACCAATCACTTAACCACCACCCCCTTTCCATTTTTCTTCACTAGGGTCTTGAAGAATTCATGCAGCACTGGGGACCAGAATTGTTTTTTTGTTTTTTGTTTTTTGTTTTTTTCTGAAAAACCAGAAGGATTCCGAGTATGTATCCACTATCCCTTCGAGGTTGACGGGATCATTGACCTCAGGCCCCAGCCTCATTTTGACAACTGGAAACTTGCCTCGTGGGAAGTTTGCAAAACATGTTAAACTGCACATGTTTTCTTTCTTCGTGAGTCTTGTGTTCTTGCTGTGGGTTTAGGTTTTGTTGTTGTTGTTTCTCTACTGAATTTTGTAAGTTTGAATTTGACCCATTTGATGATAGCTGTCACTGTGTATATGCACAGAAATTGTGCAAAACTGGATGTCTGGTACTTTGACACGCCTGTGACCTGTTTATTTTCAAAGCTTTCTGAAAAATCTGTCACCCTGCAGGCAAAAAAAAAAGGGGGTGTGCGATGTATGCATTTTTAAAATGCTTTTCTATGCATTTTGCAGGCATTTGTGTGTGTTGTTTAGTTGTTTATTTTGTTCCTCTCTGGTCACTATAAACTCAGAAGTTGGGAAGCCACATGCCCTACAGGCCCCCCATTCAAATATGGCACAAACAAGTGGCTTTCCCCAGTCTTCCAGTTTAGACGTCTGCAGTAAAATATCCTTTCCTAAAGTTAAGCCAGAACTCTGCATACTGCATTAGCCACATGGCAACCTGGGTGCAAAGTTTGCCTTTTTATGATAATACAAATTTAGCCACATTTCCCAAAAGGGAACTTCAAGGATCCACCCCACAACTCCCTCCTGTCGTAAGTGACATTTTCTTCCCACCAAACTCAATCCTGTTCTCCCAGCCTCGTCCATCTGTAAAAACTCAGGTTCCAGGCGGGGAGCTTTTATGAACGTTTGTACAGAGCTGTATTTTCAGTCAGCTTTCCCAACCTTTCCAATATGCAAAATAACTGGGTTATGTACTATGAACAAACATACACAGGAGATAGAATTCTGGTTATAATCTAGCAAAATAGGCATGCTGACCCAATAGGTGCTGTCAGCATTTGATATTACATAGAAAATTATGTAAAATTAGCATAGGAAACATTGCCTTAATTCTAAACACATATGAGGAGATCACACATGCACACATGTACCCACTGTGTGCTCCTAATGTACTTAGCAATCTGACCTCTGATCCTAAAAATCAAATTTAACACCCTTAATTGGGCTGTAAATTATACTGTGTTATGTCATTGTAGTGGCATCAGGTAGTGCATAGGAATCATAATTTTTTATTTGAATATTTTTAATGAGTGTGCGTGTGACTACAGTACACGCGGGGGCCAGCAAAGCACTCCAGAGACCCTGCAGCTGGACACACAGGTGGTTGTGTGTTGCCCTGTGCATGCTGGTAACCCAATCTGAGTCCTCTGCAGTCCACATAGTTGACATGCAAAAAATAAATAAAATTAGGAAGGGGTAATGGGGTAAAAACAACCAGGAGAAAGGATGAGGAAAGTATGTCCAAGGAGAACTGTGCACCCAGCACCTTCTCATAAAGCAACCGGACAGTTAATAAATTACAAATTCCTCAGGTGGTGGCTTGATTCGAACCAAGCACAAAAGATTAAACAATCAGTAACCAATACTAATTAAAAAACAAATCCCCATTCTCTCCAACCAAGACTGATTTTTCTTTTTAGTGTTTAGTAGAGATAAAATACTAAGTGCTGTGGAATGGTGCTTGTCTCCCCTAACTAGCTGTTTCATGTTACACTGTAAAATGTGATTAGATGGCTAAATACTGTTCATGTGACCCTCAGGCTGTGCAGATATCTCAACATTGGACCAAAACCTATCAGTCAATCACCACTGTGCTGTTCTGTGAACCCTAGCCAAGGTTCAGCATTGTGTGGGTCTTGATGTTGGAGTGAAAAGCCGGAGAAGGGTTATTCCTGGCTGTAGATTTTGAGGTGTGTCGTTTTCCTGGGTTTTTTGTGTTTTGTTGTTTTATTGTTGTTGCTGTTTTTGATAAAGTTCCATAGGGAGCATTGATGAAACCCTGACACCTGTCATTCTTGTTTCTCACACACACTGCAAGCCACCTGAAAATTGTGATGCAAAGTCAAGGGTTTTGCATGGGTTGGTTCCCCCATCTGTGTATGTGTGTGTCCGTGTGTCCATGTCCCATACTGTTTCTTGTTCCCATCAGATCTGCCTTGCGAACCACACAGCCTTTGCATCCAACCGCACACTGTCATTTCCTGGGGCAGGGAGTCCGGGGTTACTCCAGTAGGTTATGTAATAGACTTCGTTACTTGTGTGACTTAGGGGGAGTGAGCAGGAGCCTCCCAGGCCCTCCGGGTCCTCACAGGACCAGACTCAAACCCCCTTGGCAACCTCAGTTCTTCTCACAGTGTGGGTACACACCACTTGACCTCCTCATGTAGCAGGTGTCACGTGCACTGTACAGGTGCGTCCCCACTGCTGAGCACCTGCTGGCTCGCCTGAAATTATCACTCAAAATGAAAAAGCCTGTTTTTTTCCTTACATTCTAATCCTGCTGCACAATTAAAAATCACTGTGATTTGTGTATATATCTATCTATATCTTTCTATATATTTGCCCCAGGAAAATTTTTCTGCTGTCTAATTTATAAAATAATACTATTGAGTCCAGGTTTGTTTAATAAAAGTTTGTATGCTAAGAAATCTGCTTCTTCCTTGGTTTTTCCTGTAATCTGGAGTAACACCATAAAACAACAGTCACTGTCCGTGGTTAATGACCACAGCCATCCAGTCACCAACAGCAGTTGGTACCCATGTCTCATAGACAGAACTGAAGAGGCTCAAATAAAGTTAGGTTTCTTAGGGAAATGGGTATGCACCCTGGTAAACAGGGACTCATTATTGTTTCCAGGATTATTAGCACCCTCCAGGATTTTGCAAGTGTCACAAGCTGCAGACAGCATGAAGGGGTGTAGGGGCATAATCTAGTCAGGGAGAAGAGAGTGTGGTAGGTCTCCGTTATCTCCAAACACCCGCAGTTCCAGGAAGATTTCCCCTAGAGAAGGTAGAAGCCGCCTAGAGTAGGCCAACACATGCTACCATGAGGCTGTATTCAGCCTCTCAGAGGCATCAATGCCTCATTCTTTACCAATTAAAAGCAGAAGTTTTCCTATCCTCACACGGAAAACTCCCTTCCTCACCAACCTCAACTTGGCTTGTTGGACACGCTCCGTAATCAGCACCTAGAACGCTGAGACAGGAGGATGTTGGCAGCCAGTCAAAGCCACACAGCAAGGCAGTTTCAAAAATCAACAAACAAGCCATTCCTCAGTTGGAGGCTTCTGAAACTGCACACCCAGAATGGCTCTAAATTTGCAACACTATTTAAAAATGAATTATTGCACTATTAGGTCAATCAGAATTAGCAACATTCCTTTTTACAAGTATAAATCTATTGAAAGTTTCAGTCCATACACACATATAAAATACAGCATACTCTTTTTTTGTTTGTTTGTTTTTGAGACAGGGTTTCTCCGTATTGCTTTGGAGCCTGTGCTGGCACTCTGTAGACCAGGCTGGTCTCGAACTCACAGAGATCCATGTGCCTCTGCCTCCCAAGTGCTGGTATAAAGACACCAATGCCCAGCTATAATACAGCAAAACCAATGTGAGTCCAATGGGATGGGAAAAACACATTTAAGCTTTAAGAAGCATTTTTCTCAGTATATTAGCATTTTCTCAAATACATACATGGGAAAAATGAGGTAATGATAGGTGCATGGAGCAGGGACCCCAAATCACACATGTTTATATATGTGTGTGTATGTAAAGCCTTTGTAACACAGAATACAGGTGCTGTGCCTAGCAGTGCTGGGAGAGATGCCCATGTTCATGCTTAGGCCAGAAGTTGGCAAATAGTAAACAATGCCAAGCCCCCAGCACAGGAAATCATTGGTAACATGACATCTACATCAAGGTTGGCAAGCCACAAACATCCTGAGTAATTGTTTCACAAATCTTTTTAAAATGATTTTTTAAAATGTATTCTCCACAGTAGCTGCTTGTTGGAATCATCACTGCAGCCGGCACAGTCCATGAGCAATTCTACTGTCCCAGGAATCACAAGGGTTTAAAAACTTTTGCTTTAAGGAAGGAATGGGCGTTGGAGAAGGTGGTTCTTTGTGTAAAACAGGTGGATTTTCTTTTTTAAAATAAATTTTATTTAAATTAGAAACAATCTTATTTTACATACCAATCCCAGTTCCCTCT